CACAAAAACCAAAACCAAATCACACTAGATACCATCGAGTCTATTCTGACTCATGTGTTTCAGAATAGAATGGCATTCCATAGGGTTTTCAATGGCTGTTATTTTTCAGACGTAGATCACCATGGCCTCTCTTCTGAGACACCTCTGGGTGGATCTGAACCGCCAACCTTCCAGTTAGTTGCCAAGTGCTTAGCCATTTTTGCCACTCAGGGACTATAAGCTATCAGTAGGTACAACTTATTTAGGAATGCACTGGATTTACCTAGAAAAAAAGGTTATTCTCAATGAAACAGAAAATACATGCAAACACAATTCTACTTTTTTGGATGACTTTTATTTTTAGCTTCTATTAAAACATGTAAGTCTCAAGTATAACTACAATATAATTTATGACAAACTCAAAACATTTTGAATATTCTTAAATCTATGAAGTTTGTAAAGAATTCTGTGTAAACAGCATTATTATATTCATGGCTATTCATCTGTTTTCATGAAGCAATTCTTGATTGTTTTCCTCAAGAATATAATAACATAACAAAGCACAGATATAAAAAAAGTTGGTGGTCTCTAAACATAGGTCCTAATCCCAAGCCAATTACTTGGCCATTCTAATTTAGCTGGCCCGCCTTTCATTACAGGTAGTCCCCAACTTACAATGTATACGACAAACAGCACTTATGACCATCTGTATTTTTTTTTTGTACATCTTATTGTTAGTAGTATGTACTACATACAATGTGGCAGCATGTAATTTGTTGCTATCATTCTCAGATGTTCACTCGCAGATGTTCAAAGATCGGATTTATAAAGATAACGATAATAAAAGCCAATAATAATGAAAACTAAAAAAAAAAAAAAAAGTGTTCGACTTACATCAAACTGCCTTACAATGGAGTTGTTGGAAAGAAACCCTGTTGTCAGTCGGGAACTACCTGTACTTCCATTAACATTTCTCCAAAATTGCTATTGAGAATTGCTTTATTTACATATGCACTTTATCTTAGCTCTTTTTAATAAAGCTATCAAAATTCTATAAAATCATGCTGAACATTTTGGATTGAGATTTTCAACGATCAGCATTTATAAATAGTCCACAAACCAATTATATCTTATGCAAATTATGTAGCAGTCAAAAAGTTTAAGAGTCTCCTGCTTTTATCCAAATGTTATATATGGATGTGTGTTCAAACATGTTCACCTCCATTTTATTCTAATTTAAGCTTTGCAGTGTAACTATCATTCTACATTATTGGGTGAAATGAATTTAAGGATTACATAATTTAGATATTAGTATGACTGTGACTTCTGGAGGTTGTATCTTACAATTAGTACCAAACAACAGTGGCCTACATGAAAACGTCTACTTTTACCCTAAGCTTACAGTGTACTCAATGAGATGTTAGTTCCAAATATTGTTTTTAATCAATCAAAAGTCACAAGTAGACATACCTGGGACAAATATATATACAAAACCTAACCATGTTATATATTTTTAAAGAAAAAAATATACTTCAACATGAAATAGGAAAACAAGTGACTTTGTAATCTTTTTTTTTTGAAGTGCTAAGAATAAATTATTTTGTGGAACCAGTTGCTAATTTTTTAAAATTTCACAGAAAAATTAGGTAATGTTACATAAAAATTAGGCAATGTAAAAATATTAATAGTAAATCACACATAAACCTGCCCACCATGTATCTTTTCATACTGTAAAAACCAGCTGCTATCAAGTCAACTCAGATTCCTGGTGACCCCATGTGTGCATTACCTAAATACTCCCAATAGAGTCATACTTATATGCATTTAAAATAATGAGGATGGATTAATTTCAGATTTAAAGAGATGGTAATTTATTAATTGAATGTAAAAAATTTTTTACAAATGTAATATATTTTTTATGGTTCCCTAATTGTCAAAATCTATTTTCAACAGGCTTAGCAGGTATGTGATGCAATGCTCTACATAGTCTAGGACAACACTGAATGGTATCTTTTGTATTAAATTTAAACAGTGGCTCAAATAACTTAAGACTATGATTTAATTTAGATGTAAAGAATCTTTGGCCCTAGATTTAATTTCCTATGTACCTTAGGACAAATGTCTAGAAGTGATAATCTCTTTCATGGATATTGTTGTAAGATATACCACAATTTAAAAATTGTCTAGATAGGAATTACTGTGGAAGTGTCTCTTTCTACATTCTTCTCTTTCACATGTCTATTTCTTAGTCTCTTCCTCTGTCTCTCATTCTCTACTCATACTTTTTCATGTCTATTAAAAAAAAAAAAGAACCTGTTGCCATCGAGTTGATTCCAACTCATAGCGACCCTATAGGACACAGTAGAACTGCCCCATAGGGTTTCCAAGGCTGTAATCATTATGGAAGCAGACTGCCGTACCTTTCTCCCTTGGAGCAGCTGGCGGGTTCCAGCCTCCAACTTTCGGTTAGCAGCTGAGCATTTAACCACTGTACCACCAGGGCTTCTTTGATGTCTATAACCCAAATCAAACCAAACTCGCTGCCGTTGAGTTGATTCTGACTCATAGCGTCTATATAAAACTCACAGCGACCCTAGAGGACAGAGTAGAACTGCCCCATAGGGTTTCCAAGGAGTGCCTGGTGGATTCAAACTGCCAACCTTTTGGTTCGCAGCTGTAGCTCTTAACCATTACACCACTAGGGTTTCTCATAGCATCTATAAACCAAACCAAAAAAAAAAAAAACAAAACAAAAAAACCTATTGCTGTGGAGTCGATTCCAACCCACAGCGACCCCACATGGCAGAGCGGAACTGCCCCACAATTTCTAAGGGGTGGCTGGTGGATTCAAACTGCAGACCTTTTGGTTAGCAGCCATAGCACTTAAGCACTACACCACCAGGGTTTCCAATATAGGTATGTTTAAATCTCCTTTATCATTAACTCATCACCACCACCACAACAAAATGTTTCAAGTACTTACTATAGAAATAGAAGTTTGCACTTTTTTAAATTTAAAAAGCAAATGAATGAAATATATTCAATATATTTGCTTCAAAAACTTCCACAAAAACTTCTAGATGACACTACTTTCTACTTTGTGACTTAACTTTTTCCTGTAAATGAATAACTTGGTAGAAAAAAATTTGCATATTTCTGGAATAAAGTCATGAAAAAAATGTCATGGTCATTTATTTTCAAGTCATTATTAGCAAGGATTTTTACTAGATTTCCAATCTTTGGGAGGATGACAACATTTAATAAAAAATTAATATGTGCTTGGTAAACTATAAGCTGAGGGTGCTTTATTGATAATGCAAAATATACCTCAGAGTTATAGAATTTAAAGGAGAAAGTGATATCCCTTCTTTTTGTACATGACAAAACAGAGGTCTGAAAGGATTACTTGTACAAAGTAGGAAAGCAAGTTAGTGGCAAGAAAGCAAGTTGGCAAGAATCCCAGCTGAACACTCTTTCATTCATAACTACACATAAGTTTGTGTTGAAAGCCTGCCATATATTATGACTTGAAAGCTTGCCAAACACATTTCGGATAGTATACAAGGGATACTGTGCCCAAGTCAGTATCTGCTCAAACGTGCACCATGGTATCACATAGCTATTTGCTCATCAGGAAGCACTTCATTGAAGCGAAACATCAATTTTGCTTAGCGCTGAAGGATGACTAAACAATACTGCATGAGAACATAGAAAAATGTGACAAAAGAGATTAAGAGTTAGGTCATTACTGGTGTTTTTGGGCAGCACAGTCCAGTGTTGGATTGCATAAAGAGCAGTAAATAAAGTTTTCTTCGGTTGCTTTCTTTTCTCAACCATCTTCATTTTTTTTTCTTTTGAGGAATGTGATATGTACTTAGAATAATTGTTCATGTTTTGTGGTTATTGAACGAACAAAGAAGAATATAAAAAAGACAGGATATTAAGCACAATACTCTAAGGGTAAATCTTAACCTAGTTGGTATATGAGTCAAGATGAATCAAAAGTATTTGCTCAATGAATAGCCTACACGTTTTTAAACCCATGGCATTTTATAGGCATGTATAAATTGGTTTTGATGCAATGTAGAATAAATTCAAGCACCTCAAAATATAGAATGACCTCTGTACATGGATAAGTGACTATTGCTCCCTAATAATAAAATATTTTAACTAAACATTCATCACTAATGTCCATCACTTCTATCAGGGCATTTCATTGCAAAAGCCAAGGCAAAATACTTCTGTTGATTTCCGGATAACAAATATTTTCCTAGTTACGTGTTATGTGCAAGTGTGTCTGGGTATGTGGATGTTTGTATTTACATGGGAAAAAATGAATGATTACAATCCTGTGAAAAGATGACAAAGAAAATATGAAAATTTTCTACATGGTCGTCTTATTTATTAAAAGCAAAAAAAAAAAAAAAATTATGTCACTTTTGTTTGCTGTAATCAGTAATCCCTAGAGAATAACTTACAATTCTCACAGTATCATTTACCAATGCAAAAATAGCCATCTGCCAGTGCTGCCCACCTATCTTAGGGAATAAGAGCTAGTAACTGCTCTGACTTTGAAGTATTTTGGTAAAAAGTTTGGCATAGACCTCCTTAAAAGAGTCTTATTAACACAAATAGATCACCTTCACAGGCTGTAAACAATATACCAAAAATGAAGCTCTATTTTTTGCTTTCTTTGCCATCTTTCCCTTGGTCTTCCTTTTCTGTTTTGTCTTTTTCATATTTCTCTTTGTCTGGCTTTGTTACACTATCATATGAAGGTGGAGAGATGGTAGATGGGGTCACATCTGTTTTCTCTGGACTTGAGTTTTCATTAACATTATCAAAAACCATATCTCCTTTATTGGGCAAATCATCATCTTTGTCTCCATCTTTTATATGTATACTTGATATATTTTTTACATTTTGCTGTAAGCGGTAACGTCTGTAAGCACGCTGAATGACAGTAGCAGATACATCCTCTTGTTTTCGTTTTAGCGTAGTTGTAATGGGTTCATAGGACACTTTAGAAGGATTTGCAGACATGAACCTTTCTTCCATTTGTGAACGAAGAGAATCCATCTCTCCACCTTCACCCAAAACACGCTTTGTAAAAGCAAATAAAATGTCAAGACAATGGATCCGGTCACCACTGACCATGGGCAGATCCATGGCAATGAGCTGGACTTTGTTCGGTTTTGCTATGAGAAGAGGAGGATCCAGGGCAGCTGCAAAGTCAGAGAGTTTGCTATATTCTATAAACTGGGTTGCATCTGGATCAAATTTCTCCCAAACCTCATAAAACATCTCGAAGTCATCCTCACTCAGGGGCTCAGTACTTTCTTCAGTAGCAACACTGAAGTTCTCCAGGATGACAGCGATGTACATGTTCACCACAACCAGGAAAGATATGATGATATAACTGACAAAATAGAATATTCCAACAGAGGGGCTACCACAGTCTCCTTCAGCTGAACTTCCAGGATGAACTTTTTTTGGATCACAGTCTGGTGGTGCGCTGTTGAGAATAGGTGCTAGTAATCCATCCCAGCCAGCAGAGGTGGTAATTTGGAACAGGCAAATCATGCTGTTGCCAAATGTCTCAAAGTTGAACATGTCATTAATACCAGCTTCCTTTTTAACATAGGCAAAGTTGGACATTCCAAAGATGGCGTAGATGAACATGACCAGGAAGAGCAGGAGGCCGATGTTAAACAACGCAGGAAGGGACATCATCAAAGCAAAGAGCAGTGTGCGGATCCCCTTTGCCCCTTTGATCAGACGCAGGATTCGGCCAATCCTGGCAAGACGGATCACTCGGAACAGGGTAGGGGACACAAAATATTTTTCTATCAGTTCAGCTAGAAACATTCCTGTTAGGAGGGAAGGAATTAAAAGGAAATATTTAAATACCATGGTACCGAAAATCATGACTGTAAACAGTTTCATCTTTCATTATCTTTTATTAACCCAGGATTGTAATTCTACACCGAAAGTAATTCTGTAACAATCGAAGAATTGAGCACTCCCAACATTAGAATTGCTATTTCATATCTTCTCCTTTTTATGAAGTTTGTGGTCCTTACTTTTTTCTTCCAAAATAATTTTTCTAATTATAAAGATAGTATCTACTTATGAAAAAAATTCAAATACAGTAAAATACTAGAAAGGAAATATAAATCACTTGAAATATCACCAACCATAATTAACTGTTGTTAATATTTTGTTGAACAACACTCCAGACATTTTTCTGTGTGCACACACACACACATTCACACAAAGAAATGTGATCATGTTACATGAGATTTTTTTTGTGAACTGTTTTAGTCACTTCAACATATGTCATGGAGGTACTTCCATATGAGATAATTTATTTTGGTTGTATGATGTTCTGTCAAAATAATCACATACTGAAGAACAATAGAATTTATGCTTCTTTTAATTTTTGACTGAGATGAATATCTTAATAGGTGTCTTTTTCCTAGCTGCATGAGTATCTTTTGATAATATATTAATAGAATTGGGTCAAATAGCATATTTAAAATTTTATTATATATTGCCAAACCTATCTCCAGAGTCTACAAATGAACACTCTTAGTAGCAGTGTGTGAAAGGGCTCATGCCCTACATTCTTCTTTATAATTTTTACCAGAAAAGCTTTATGATGGCTTAAAAAAATATCATTATTGTGATTTATTTGCACTTTTTGAAAATAAATAATCCACAGTATTTTTTTGTTTGTTTATTGGACTTTTTATCCTTATTGGTTATTTCCAACTTTCTCTTTTTCAGCTATTCAGGTCCATTGCTCATTTTTCTATTGGCACGTTTCCCTTTTTCTTATTGATTTATAAGGACTATTTTTCTATTGGAAGCACTATTCCTTTTTTTGGCCTTCAATGTTACATAACTTTTTTCCTTACTCCTTGTGGTTAAACACTAGGCTCCTAACCAAAAGGTTGGTGGTTCGAATCCCCCAGCTGTTCAGTAGAAGAAAGATGTGGCAGTCTGTTTCTGTAAAGATTTACAGCCTTGGAAACCCTATGGGGCAGTTCTACTCTGTCCTAAAGGGTTGCTGTGAGTTGGAATCGACAACGACAGCAATGGGTTTTGTTTTTTCTCCCACATAGTATTATGATTTTTATGCAGTATTATCCATTATTTTTTCTTCTTAGATTCAGGTTTATGTCACGCTTAGGATTATTCAAGTTCATGGTTATAAATCTATTTCCATACATTTTCTACTAGAATCCATTTTTTTTACACTTTTACCTTTAATTTATGTGACATTTACTAAGTTAGTGATTCTATTTTTAAAGTTTCATTTTGGACTATCCAAATCCATGCGGCTATTTTTTTCTACACTGTTTATACTTATCATCAACTTTATAATAGTTTTAATATCTAGAGTAAGTCACCTCTCATTACTCCAATTTTTCCTCCAGACGAATTTTAGAATAACTTGTACTTATACTGTCAATTTATCACCCCCACCACGTAAAAAGACTCCTTGATATTTTCATTGGGATTGTGCTGAATTTATAGATTAATTGATAAAAAAATGATTAATTACAGTTGAGAGCCTTCTCACTGTAGTACAAGGTAAGCTTTTCACTTATTTAAGGAGCCCTGGTGGCACAGTGGTTAAGAGCTCAGGTTGCTAGCCAAAAGGTTGGCAGTTCAAATCCACCAACTGCTCCTTGAAAACCCTATGGGGCAGTTCTACTCTGTCCTATAGGGTCGGTATGAGTTGGAATCAACTCGACGACAACGGGTTTGGTTTTATGTCTTTAGTTTTCTTCATTAAATTCTCATACATTTCTTGTTAAGGTTGTTCCTAGATATTTTATTTTATTTTTATTGCAAATGTGAATGAGATTGTTCTTCAAGTATATTTTCTAATTATTTTTATCCATATAGTAGACAATTATTAATGCTGGCAATGTATTTTAAAATTCGTTCTTTCTGAACAATAATTGAATATTTTCTTCAGTTTTTCCCTTTTATTTCTAAAAAATGCCATAATGTGATCTGAAGATAATGATAATTTGCTCCTTTGTTTTAATATATGTATCTGCTTTGTTTTCTCATCTAATTTCATTGGTTAACATTTTTAAAAATAGAGATGACAGAGGGACACTCTTTTCTTGTTCCTGACGTAATGGTAATGCTTCTAGTATTGTTTGTTACTAGTGTAAAATTCTATCTAAATTTTAATTTTTTCCTTATATCTTAACATTAATGTCACCTCTGTTCATAATATTTTTCTAAAAAAATATTTTAAATGCCTATTTTTAAGTTATGTGGTAATCAATATTTTGGTTCTAGTTTATGTGTCCTTTAACTTTGCTGGGCTTGTCTGTCTATAAACTGAACTTGTATTTAATGATCCCTCAATCCTTCCTCATCTAAAATTTATAATTCTAAAAATAAATGCAATCCTAAGGTACTGGGCAAGGCATAGGTAGTAATGGAAATAACAGGGGATGAAAAGACAAAAAACAAAAACCAACCAAAACCACAGATACCGTAAAGAAAGGAGAGGAAGTATAAATTCATGTACTGTGATTCACAGGCATGACTATGGTTTATTGCGAACTGATTGTATTTTAGAGACTTGCCGAATGTTAAGCAATAAGAAATGAAGCTGACATATTTTGCAACTTTAACTTCATTTTAAATTCAGAAAACATTTTTATTAAGAGTCATAGATATTCTGGCTATTGATATTATTGAAGGGCAGATCTTACATGTGCAAAAACTGGAAGTGATTTCAGGTTCTGCACTGGTCTTCAAAGTCACACCTACGTACAGGCAGGGTAGCTACCTTTGAGAATGGTAATCTTAGAAAACAAATATTAAATAGTATAATATGTGCTTCCAATGAGTAGGAGACATTTGGCCTTCAGACCTGTGGTATGAGCCTAGGGCTTCTGACATGGAGATTTTGTTGTTGTTTTTAAGGTTCCTTTATTTTTTCATTAACTAACTTACCCAAAATCTACATTCAATTTACATTCAAGAATTCACCTAACTCCCCTCCCTCTGCCCATGGAGTTTACTTCTATTCTAAATTAAAATCTGATTAATATATGTTCTTACCTACAATGGAGAGAATCACAACCACAAAATCAAAAATGTTCCATCCTACAGTGAAGTAGTAGTGTCTGAGGGAGATCAGCTTCAGTACACATTCTCCAGTGAAAAGGATAATGAAAACCACATTTATCCAAGATAAAACATGAGACATGTATTCACTCTGGCCCTCTTTTTCTACCATCATGGTTACCATGTTAAGACAGATAAGAACCATGATGGTGATATCGAAAGCTTGGTTTGTTACTAGGTCAAATATACATCCTTGGATTTTGTTCTGCAAAGAAACAAGAACAATATGGAAGGTAGAGTAAATTTTGCAAATAGTATCCACAACTTATTACATGGTAAAAAAAAAGCATCTATAGTCAAAAACTGGCATAATCCTCCCTAGTCACGGGTTCTTGCTTTGTACAAGAAATATTATTAATCTGTTAAATCTAAATCAGAGTACATATATATTTTTTTATACTGTTGACTTTCAGTATATCAGACCAGTCTTCAGTTAACTTTGTATTTTAAGTTTTGCTTTTAAGCTTACCCACCCTAGGACATTGCATATGATATACTAGGTAACTTTTATCTGAGACAACTTCCACCAACCTGGGGTATGTGAAGGTAATAAAATAACCTATGGCTAAATTTCTACTTTGGCATACTATTTTAACCAATGTGCTGCATTGTATTTTACTGATATTAATTTTAGAATATCAGAGACCCATATTGTCTTATCTCTTCTATGTATAGACTATATGTATTTCCACAATGTCCATATTTATATATTACTTTTATTGTCAATCTCACTCATAGTATTATGCTTTCCAGAAAACATAACGGTTTTCAAAATCCCTTTAAAAGTTGCATAGGCAAATTTGAGAGAATTGTATCACGGTCAAGTGGCGCACTTAAAAAATTACCAAAATTTCAAATCCACAGATTGTAATTCAGTAGGTCTGAGTGGTACCTGGCAATGTGTCCATTTAAAAAGTATCTACCAATACTGTAAAATTAACATTTAAATACCTGATATTAGAAAAAATAGCAAGAGAAGCAATTGGACAAGTCATGAATCTGAACTTTATCCTACTATGGGGTCAAAAACAAGAATAGGCTCAGATGGAAATGGTCTTAACCGTCAGGTACTAGTTTGTATTCCTCTAACAACTAAAAATTTTAATATGCATTACATGCATTTCAATTCATACTCAACATAACACACTTTACCAAAGTGTTATGGCTGAAGACAGATAGGGTGTCATAAAGACAGATGCACAATTAATACCCAGCTATAGGCCATTGTACTTAGTAAGTCAAGTAGGTAAGATAAAGGTAGAAGTATATATAATTATTTTTAATCTTCATAGAAAAATAAAAAATAAGACAAGATATTAAGAACTGTGATAATGTTCAAAAACATATATTCAGTTTTAAAAGGACTTTTGTTCAAAATTGGAAAACACTAGTTCATATTCAAGAAATAGTTGTGCATGAAAGATGAATTAAAAATAATTCTGAAAATGTATATGCTAAAGACAATACATATATATATATTTTTTTACCCCTGGCCGAGGAATTGGCTTTTGTGGTTTCTTGGATCCCAGCTTTTTCATTGCATTATAGTACTTCTTCTGTTCTTCTGTCATAAAGATGTCTTGACCTCCAAGGTAAAGGAAAAAAAAAAAACTATTTAAAACCAGAATCATTGTCTACATGTTTCTTTAGATCATTAAGACAGATTAAACAATGTACTAATATAGAAATGAAATTATTTTATTGTGGGCAAAGTAGCTATAAATGCAATCTGTCTTAAAGGATTATCTATGTATAGGCACATGACCCTCCATATATAATGTAACACATGTATAAAATGCATGTGCTATATACAGTAATGATTGGCTCAATTATCTTGTGGTGAACTAACCTGTATTACTTTTAACTATGTGCTGGTTTCTCACTTTTCTGCTACTTGTCGCACTAAGCATTTTATTACTAAATAACAAATATATTAGGGTTATAAGAAATTCAAGTAGTGAACATTTTCTCTCATGATGTGGCTTATATTTAGGACCCTTGTAAAGAGTAGGAGCTCAAAATAGTAGCTACAATAGTGTTAGGTTTTATATTCATTTTAATTTTAATATGCCATCTTTCCTGTAATAGAGAAGAAACATACAGTAAATATGTAATACACTTATCCATATATATTTCAAAAAATTCTTTACTTCTTCAATTCCAATAAAGAATTTCAACACAAACATTTTATTGTCAAAGTGATGCATGATAGAGTTCTAGGTACTGAGGAAATCAATAACCCAGAGCCCCTGACTTGCAGTGTTTTCCAATGGAATATGTGAAAGAAAACATAAACTTTAAGGAGCACCAATAAAAAGTCATCATCTAACTTAAAAAAAAAAATTTTTTTATCCTCTCCTATCTTATTGAGCACCAGAAAAGCCTAAATCTCACAAAGTTAATTGCTCTTTCAGGTGCTGGTAATTTCTTAAAATTATCTCTAATATTCTTTATAGATTCATGAGTATTCTACATTGGTTTGTAATATCACCTTTTTAGTGAAGGCATAAATTAGTATAATGCATGTAATAAGGAGTTTATTTTTGAGAATTTAGAGCTCTGAAATCCCTACATAAATTGTAGAGTCCTGAAATTAGTCTGGTTATGGGTTCCCTATAGGTAATATTGCTGCCCTGGTGGCACAGTGGTTAAGTGTTTGGCTGCTAACCAAAAGGTCAGCAGTAGGAATTCACCAGCTGCTCCTTGGAAACCCTATGGGGTAGTTCTACCTTGTCCTATAGGGTCGCTATGAGTCAGAATCGACTCAAAGGCAATGGGTTTATAGGTAATATTCAGCTTCCTACCATACTGCATCTTCTTATTTATCAAATACCTAATGATAACCAGACTTCTCTATCTGTCTTAGTTTTAATTCACCATTCTTCTAGTTGATATGTAGTCTTTATGTAATTTTGATATTTATCTGATCTACTCATGGGAGGAAGGAGTCCTGGTGCCCCAGTGGCTAAGCACTCGGCTGCTAACCAAAAGATTGGAGGTTCGAACCCACCAGCCACTCTGCGGGAGAAAGATGTGGCAGTCTGATCTCCTAAAGATTACAGCCTTGGAAACCCTATGGGGCAGTTCTACTCTGTCCTATAGGGTTGCTATGAGTCGGAAGTGACTCCCTTCATGCCAATGTCAAGAGGAGCCCAGGTTCTTTATTGCTCACTGGTGGGGGCTGAATATCATAGCATGCCAAGAACTTACCGGGAGAAACTAGGAAAACACTGATGAGAGAACTCTGAATTAGAGGTGAAAAGCAAAGTTTTGTTTTCCCCTGATAATACTCTGGCTGCCAACATGATGAAACCAAGAAGAAGTTACAAAATCCTTCAACAGAAAAGCTTCTGTTGGTGGTATTTTGTTTTCTTACGATTAGCTTATTGAAGGCCTTGGGCAAAAGGCACTCTTTTAAAGCTGGGTGGCAGAAATTCTGGAAGTCAGGCTGGTCTTTTTCTATGTTACCCTGTATGTCAAGGTTGTATTACATAGTGGTTAAGAGTTCAGTTCAAGTGTTCAAATCCCTTCTCTGTTGTCCCTCATTAAGTTTCTTAATCCCTTTAAGTATAAATCACCATGTCTTTACAATATTAACTACTTCACTGTTGAGAGGATCAACTGAGATTACGAAGACAAATCATTTAACATAATACCTAGTGCGTGGCAAATCCTCAATAAATGTTAGCTACTCTTTCTGTTATTGTTATTATAGTAGTTATTATCCTAATAGGGTTTCTACTACTGAAAACGGTTCTTGTTATTTAGGATTTACTCATATGTGTCCTTGCCTGTGGAAGGTATTTGTGTAAATATATCACATATGTTCTTCTTTTACAACTTGCACCCCATAATAATTTGTGTGCTAATATTTTAGAACATAGAATGTGATTTGTGATGATTTTAAAAACATTTGTCACATGAATTTATTAAAGGTGAAAATGTATAAAAGGATGATAGATATTTGGAAAAACTAGTAAATTGGTGTTGGTTATTAGAAAGAAGTGTGGGTGTTGGTAGAGCCTTATGATGAGATCTAAATGGTGAAGTTAAAAAGTGCAAGAGGCAACTGCATTATGGAAGAAATATGAAGTTAAACAGACCTTTGAATCCTGACTGTGCTAGTGACCTGTTACTTGTTTTTAAACAAGTTACCTATCTTTTGTAGGCCTCACTTGTATATAGATACCAGTTTCTTGAGTTCGTTCTATGGACTGTTGTTGTTAGGTGCCATCCAGTCGGTTCTGACTCATACTGACCCTACAGTACAGACTAGAACTTCTCCATAGCGTTTCCAAGGAGCAGCTGGTGGATTTGAACTGCCAACCTTTTGGTCAGCAGCCAAGTTCTTAACCACTACGCCACCCGGGCTCCAGTCTATGGATTAGATGAGTTTATATACACAAAGCATCTAGCAGAAGGCGTTCTGTGTCGTAGGTGCTAACTAGCTGAAGTATTGGTCCTGTTCTCTTTCCTTCTCTTAGTAGAGTGGAAAAAATCTGAAATGATTCAGAAAAAGGCAGACAATAAAAGGTATGCTTAGATTGCAAGGTAAAATACTAGAAGTATGGTAAAGGGTAGCGGCAGTTGTTGGCGTTTCTAAACCAGTAACTTTTGTCTGACAGCAACAGTGATGGTGTCAACCCATTCTATCTTTCTTCCTGCAGTGGCAATTCTTGTTGTAAGAATAATATTTAAGAGCAATGCGATCAAAGTAATTAGGACTGGCTATTCTGTATATGGTCATTATTGTTCCTTCTAGACATGTATTTAAATTTAACTACACAGGGAATGCTGGGGAATCATATGTGTGTGCTTACATATTATATACACATATGTAATGAATAAAGCTAAAAAAAAAGTTGAAAATTAGGGTAAAGTCTATTATAGTAGTTTCAAAATTGTTCAAGATCCTCTGTTGAAATACATGAGTACATGAGAATGTTAGCCAAATTTGACTCTCAGATATAAAACAATAGAATATAGAAATGAAAAAAACTCTGAAAAATAAACATTTATATTTGGAAACATAAGCATAAAAAACATTTTAACATTTGTTAAATTCTCCTTTGGTTGTGAATCACCAGTCATGCACACTAATGAAATTTCAGTGCATGTAAATGCAGCTGTAGCTTTTAACCACTACGCCACTAGGGTTTCCATGTTTCTCTAAGATTCTAAATTGATATGTTAAATCATTGGCTCTTGTAATTTATACCTCATCCTCTAATGAGACCTCTCTTCCTGTGGGTGGCGCCACAGCCACAGTAACCCGGTCAATTGACAAGAAACCTGAGCATCTTTGACTCCTTTTTTTTAAAAAAAAAAATCAAACCCGTTGCCATCGAGTTGATTTCGACTCATAGTCATTCTATAGGACAGAGTAGAACTTCCCCATAGGGTTTCCAAGGAGCGGCTGGGGGATTCGAACTGCCAACCTTTTGGTTAGTAGTCTGAACTCTTAACCACTGCATTCCAGGTTCCTTGACTTCTTTACTTGCCTACAAATCACAAACAATACTATAGCCTCTACCTCGTGAAATCTCAATTAAATGTATCCCCTATTTTCCACTGCCACAAAGGATTAATTTGGAGATTATAACTGTGTTCAGGTGCAGGTAAAGCAGGATGTGAACCAGTCTTTGGTCTCTCCTCTCTCCTAGTCATTCTATGCATCATTGCTAGATTAAATTTTTATTAAATTTCAGTTTCACAGACTCTGGAGAAAGCTACTCTGGAGTTAGACATACGAGGAAATTTCTTCCTAGCTGTCAGACCATGTGCAAGTAATGTAACCTCTCTGAGAGGTTAAATGGGGATACTTATTTCTTTTAGGTTTGTTGTAAAACTTGACTAAGATTGCAAGTGTGAAGTACTTGACACAGGATCGGACACTTCATTAGGTCTTAATGCTAATGTCTTGCTTGTATGTTCTTCCTTGCTTAAAATACTTCAATGTCACATCAATTCCTACCGAAAAAAAAAATGTCTACAATGGCATCTGGTATCTGCTCTAAAGCTATTTCTCTTCTCATATCTTAAGCTCCATCTAAACTGGATTGCTTTTCCTTAAGCATCTACTTTAGAAAATATTTATCAATGCTATACGTTTGTTCACAAATTTCTGTTCCCATGCATGTGGATTATCTATCCGTTTCCTACCCATTTGCTACATGTCATCCTACCCATATTCCAAGGACTGTTAAATTGTCACATAAAACTTTCTATAGGGTCCTCAACTGGATCTGTTTTTCCTCTAAGGAGTCATGTACATTTTTTGTTATTGTTGTTAATCTTTCTTATTGCACTTATCACTATCATATATTATAGTATTTAGGGATACAGCATAATAGAGGACCTAAAAGAATAACCACAGGTATAAGATGTGTGGGATTAACTACTGATTCCACCACTTACTAGATGCATGATCTTGGGTAAATCATTTAACCTCTTTGTGCCTCCATTTCCTCATTTGTAAGACATAGTCTATAACAATAATACCTCTCATGGTTGGTATGACGAGTAATGAAACAAAAATCTCAGTAGAGTGCCTGACTTACAACAAACATTCAACAAATCTTAATTTCCATTGCATGTCATTTTTTTTCTGCTACAATGCAAACTTCATCAGCTTAGGAACTGCATCTTATGTTTTCCTCCCACTCCAATACATACCACACAGTGCTAGGTCTCAGAACAAAATAAAGTTAACTACTTATAAAATCTGTTTTGATTAAAAGAATTAGTGCATTGATTTTTCTTCATTAAGTAAGCCTCTATAGGGAATACTGGAGAAAAGCTAAATGATTGATATATTGTTTAAAAATAATCATAAATTTGGAAATATTTCTTTTCTGAGTAAAGAGTAATAAGATCAAGCATATCTGCAACGATATACTTGTCAATTATTTGAAGAATAAATAAAACTAATGAAACTAATTACTAATTGGTCCCAGATTAAATTCCAAATTATGTTTTTAGAAAACATAATTGTTCCCTTCTTTTTAGCACAACGAAGAAAGATTTGAAATACTTATCTTCTTTTTCTGTTGGTTGAAATTATCTATGATGACACCAATGAACAGGTTCAAAGTGAAGAATGACCCAAAGATGATAAAGATGACAAAATAAATATACATGTAGAGGCTGTATTCATACTTGGGCTGCTCATCTACCTATAAAGTCAGCAAAAGTCAGGAGTATGTTGACAATAGCATTTATCATTTTTTTTTCCATACTGTTTGTTAAAATAATCCAAGCAATACTATCCTTGGTGAATTTTGGTACTTCAGAAGCCTTAGCATTGTTGAGGCTCAGCATAATCATTCTTCAAAATCTATGCAACATTCAACAAGTATTTATTGTGTGCTTACTATGTACGTAAATATAATCTTCAAATGACTACAAAGGCCTAACTATATGTAGTACCTGTTCTCATACTGGTTGGGAAATTTAGTAACTAAATGAGCTAACATACATATATCTTTTTATTCCCTGAAGAAACTGTAAGAGAGACGATATCATATTTGTATAAATTTACTGATGTTTTTTCATTGGTGGCAGAAATCTCTTCACTAGATTTTTGTGACTAGCCCGTAGTCTTCAAACTTTTTTAGCATGGAACTTATTTTACACAAACTCTTCCAAGGAACTTCAAAATATAAAAATAATTTTAAAAACTGTGAACAAAAGAGTTATTTCATTTTTCTTTTGGTAAAGCAATATTTACTGAGCATTTACACCTACTCATCACTTATCGACTATCTCCGTAGCCAACATTCTGCATTTACGACATTAGAAAAAATTCTATTACCTACTATTTTGTACATTAACGAGAAGCTGAGATGAGAGGTGGACAAGGAGGAGGAGGGTGAGGTCTGTGAGAAGGAGCGAGGCTGCGAGGCTGGGCAGGCGGCCGGTGGTTTGTATTACCAGGGTCTGGCGGAGGAGTCGGGTTGGCCGGAGGCCTGGAGGAGGTGGGGGTAAGGAGGCAGCGGGAGCTGGGGCTGCAGGATTCTGGCAGGGCCTCAGGAGTCTCTTTTCCCAAAGAGGCCCCTATGCAACCTCCACAGCCTCCACCGGGCCCAGATGGCTGGGCCTCACCTGCCCACAGGCCGGGGAGCCACCAGCTGCTGAGATTCATCTCGTGTGCCAGAGGAGCGGGAAGGTGGAGAGGTGAGGTGTGGGGGTCGGCGGGGAGGCCTGGAGCTTGGCCAGGTGATGGTGGGCCCCTGCTACTCTGGAGGTGGCGGGCAACCTCAGACCCCCACTCCCGCCACCCTGCAATGCTCCGTGCATCCCAAGATGTGCCCAAGATGTGCCGGGATACCTGGGCAGTGAGCCATGGGAGCACCAGCAAGGATGTTGGCACTCGAACCCGACTCTTGCATAATGCCAATTTTCACGTAACGACCTGGTTTTTGGAACCTAACCATGTCCATAAGTGAGGAGTGGGTGTATTACTGCCAGCGCTCTACTTCCATTTTCTTGTTGGATCCACACAACAGCCTTATAAGGCAGACACTGAATTATTTTCTTTTTACAGATGAATAAACTAAGGCTCCTAGAGGTAAAGTAACTTGTTCAGTCAGTTGCAGAGCTGTAGTAGAACCAGAATTTGAGTAAGGCTCTGTCTGCTTTCAAATGCTTCACTCTTCACCACTAAGCTACTATCAGGTGGAAGTTCTTCATTGTTAGCATACACACCAAGCGCTGGAGGAGCCACAGTTTGAAAACCACTGAACTAAAATAGGGAGCTTTTTTAAACTGTAGGTTTTAGCATTATGTTGACCACAACTTACATTAACGGAGTCAACGGCTGCATACATGATATCCATCCATCCCTTAAATGTTGCCTGTAAATATAATATTTATAGAATCTGAATGTGAAACTCACACTGTAAATAGCCATAAATATAGTTTAGTTTGTTTCATTTCATAACATTCGTTAAGTAGTATTAAATTAGTAAACTTTGCTATATTTCAAAATACCAGTTTACTATAAAGATGCTATATGTTAAAAAAAAAGACACATTCCCAAGTCACATTCTAAATTTTAGTGCTAATTATTTTTAAATTGTTACAATTGCCTGTGAACGTTGCACATGGACTTTTTTTGTTTCCAGAGGTGGAGGGGAAGTTTATGAGAAAGGCAGGAAATAAATTTTCTCCATTTCTTAAGAGTTCTCTGTGCTAATGGGAAGTCCCTTCCAGCCCCAAGTAGTGTAAACTGGCAGTCCAAAAAGTAAGTATTCATTTTTGGAGCAATATTCAGATGGTGAAGTGGTGGTGGTCCAAATGACACCAAAAGACCAATTATGGGTTAAGAACTCTCAGATGCAACAGAATGTATGCTTCTTAACTCATGTTACAGGCACGTGTTCTAAGAAAGACCAACTCTGTTGTTAAAGTCTTGAAGTACTTTAACTTCTATTTAATAGATTAAAGAATGACATAGCCTTCCTCCAGTGTCCATTAAATTACCAAGCACTTACGAAAGGGGTCACTTACAACTTGAAGCAGAGACAGGTAACCAAGTCCGACATTATCGAAGTTCACTTTCAGGTTTTTCCATCGCACATTCTGACTCACATTCATAAGGGCAAAACACTCGGAACGGTTTTGAACTTGACTTGGAAGAAACCGTGACCCATCTGTGGTGTTAACACACTCATAGAACTTGCCAGCAAACAAATTTACTCCCATGATGCTAAATATTAGCCAGAATATAAGACATACAAGTAATACATTCATGATGGAAGGAATTGCTCCAATGAGTGCATTCACAACCACCTAGTATTCAAAAGAAAGAAAAGAACGATTAGGATTAGTAAAAATGTTTTAAATGGGCAAACATAAACGAAACACAATGCAGTGTTAAATGAGTTAGAAAAGCCACCCTTAAGTGTTTAAGGCACCAAATCAACCAATCAGTATGTATTTATTGAATGCCTACTGTATCCTCAGCAGTGTGCCAAGCAAGACAAAATGAAACATGAGCCCTGCCATCAGTGAGTTTATAATCATTTGTGAATACACAATTAACACACAGTAAAACTATTAGCTAAAATATAAGGCAGTGCTGAACATAATAGCTAAAATGATATGACAGATTAAATAAATGGAAAAAAAAATAAAACAAAACCTGATAGTGGTAAGATGAAGTCATAAAATCTGCAGTCTAGAAAAGAGGAAAATTTATAAACATAAATGATAAAAAATAAATATACATGCTAGAGATTCATGATCCTAGAATTATCAGCATTAAAGATCCTCCCATATAGAGCAACTGCTGGTGTATATTAGCTGAAGTTAAGATTGGGAATAATTTAGTGGCATAAGTCCCTTGGATTCAGTTGGTTCTGCCAGTTGTGTGATATGTGAATTTAGTTAAGACCTTTTGGCCTCTGTTTCCTCATCTGCAAAATGACAACAATCTTTTCAGTTATTTTTCTAATTCTAAAAATACTCTCTAAGTCCTTGATTACATGTAGATAGTGCTGGCCTCATATAAAACAAAAAAGAGGCATGTTTTATCTATAATACTTCATTTATTTCTGCTTATTTCCACTGCTGTTGATCACTAGTGCCCATGTTACTCCAAGTTTCCTCTATGGCAACTATCGTAGCATTTATCATTCTCTAGATTTTCTTTACTACATCTTTCAAAACCTACTTGTCTTCTGATACATCAGCTCTAGTCCACACTTGAGTGCAAACGTGTTAAAGGTTAATTTCTTATGTAAATAGCATTTTGCTCTCTCTTTTTTGCAATATAGCAAGCAGACTCCTTAAGACACTTCCAAATGGTGAAATATCAGGGATCTCTGACTGCTTATGAGATTATCTACAGTAGGCATTGGCAAACATTTTCTTAAATATTTTTTGGCTTTGTGGGTCATATGATCTCTGTTGGAACTACTCAACTCTGCCATTGTAGCCGAGGATCCTACTTAAACAAATAGCCAATGCTGTGTTCCAATTAAACCTCTTTTTTTTTTACTTTGGTATCACTTTTTTAAAAAAAATTGTACTTTAGATGAAGGTTTACAGAACAAACTAGCTTCTCATTAAACAGTACACATATTGTTTTGTGACCTTTGTTACCAACCCCACAACATGTCAACATTCTCCCTTCTCAACCTTGGGCTCCCTATTATCAGCTTTCCTGTTCCCTTCTGCCTTCTAGTTCTTGCCCCCAGTTAAACCTCATTTATAAAATCAGGTAACCAGCCAAGTTTGTTGACCCTGACCTAGAGCAATGGTTATTACCTCGGCCGTCCATGGACACCTAAAGGTTCCATGAGGGCCTGAATTTATATGAAAAACATTATGGTTGTGTTCTCTTTCTGGAGAAATGATTCATACTTTGATCAGAGTCTTAAAGTATACGTGACCCAAAACAAAGTTAGGAAAAGCAAGATTACCAAAATGAAGTTCAAAACAAACAGCCTGATCTATAAGGCTCTTGTTCTAACTCATTTTCTTGTTCATCCTCATTTCCTGCTAGCCTCTCCACTATGCTAATTTCCTAGGCACACTGACCCTTCTGGTCATTGCCCAAATATGACTTGCACACTCAACTCTGTGCCTTTCTACCTTGCAGTATTTCTGCCTGGAATGTCTTCTGGCCTGCGAGTTGGAGCTCACTTTTTCTGTTCTGGCTCGAACGTCACCTCCTTGTAAAGACTTCCCAAACTTCCCCAGGCAGCTACTCCCTCCTTGATGTTTGTAGCACTGCATGCTTATAGAAGGTATCACAGAATAACTGCTGCTCACCTGCTTGCCTCTCCTGCTGACCAATCATGCTATTCATTGTTTGTTCATGAAAATGTAGTATACTGTATACTAGAATTCAGGGGTGGGTCAATCGTAAGTTTTGTATAGGTTGTAACATTCTGCTAATGCTCAAAAAATGAAGTTAATATCAGTGAATTCCAATACTGCCTTCCTGCATAAAATGAAACTGGTAATTTCTCAATTCTTACCATTCTCAATTCTTACATAGAGTACTTGAATATTATTTATCAAAGAAATTCCTTGTAGAATGAAGAACACCAAAGACACAAGGAAAATATTAGCCCAAGAGACAAAAAGGGCCACATAAACCAGAGACTCCATCCGCCTGAGACCAGAAGAACTAGAGGGTGCCCGACTACCACCAATGACCGCCTTGACAGGGAATACAACAGAGAGTCCCTGATGGAGGAGGAGAAAAGTGGGGTGCAGAACTCAAAATCAAGTGAAAAGACCAGACTTAATGGTCTGACTGAGACTGGAGGAACCCCAGAAGACATGGCCCTGGCCTCTCTGTTAATCCAGAACTAAAACTATTCCAGAAGCCAACTCTTCAGACAAAGAATGGACTGGACTATAAGACATAAAATGATACTCGTGAAGAATGTGCTTCTTAGTTCAAGTAGATACACAAGACTAAATGGGCAGCTCCTGTCCAGAGGCAAGATGAGAAGGCAGAAAGGGATAGGAGCTGGTCGAATGATGGACACAGGAAATCCGAGGTGGAAAGGAGGAATGTGTGGTCACATTATAGGGTCACTTAACAATGTGTGTACAAATTTTTGTATGAGAAACTAACTTGAGCTGTAAACTAACTTTCACCTAAAGCACAATAAAAAAAAAAAAAATTCAAGGTATAATTACGATGTTCTTATATACTTGGACACCATTATACATTGGATATATTAAGTTGTAGAATTTACATCCATAATTAGATTAGCAGGGATACACAGAAGACCTGATAGCTTGAAAGATCTCAAATTTTCACCTTGAGGGAGTCTCTGGGTAGCACGAATGGTTAAGCCCTTGGCTACTAACTGAACAGTTGGTGGTTCAAATCCACCCAGAGGTGATCAGAAGACAGGCCTGGCTATACTTCCGAAAGGGTGACAGCCATTGGAGACCCTATAGTGCACAGTTCTACCCTGACATACATGGGGTCGCCATGAGTCGGAATTGACTTGATGGCAACTAGTTTTTTTTTTTCCCCACCTTGAGAGCTTATTAATTGCTGACTCGCACCCCTGCGTTTTTGACTCAGTAAGCCTGGCGTGGGGTTTGAGAACTTACATTTCTAATAAGTTTCCCGATGATACTGAGGCTTCTGGTCAGTGGGCCACAACTTGAGAATCACTGAGCTAGACTAATCTGCAGGCAAATTGCTCAGAGATTGCAGGTGGTGAGGCAGTCATGTAAACAAATAAATCACATACAATATAATAGAGGAAGGATGCCCAACTATGCCTGGTTGTAGATGAAGAAGACTATTCTTAAACTGAGACTTAAAGGATGGGTAGGTGTTTATCTGCTAGATTGATAGAGTTGAAGCAAGACAGAGGGATGAATTCCAGACAGAGGAAACAACACAGACACGAGCGAAGAGGTATAAATCTGGATAAAAGGAAATGGGAGGAGAGCAGCAACAAATGAGGAGATAGACAGCAAATAAGGTTAGTGTCCTCCATGTGTTTTATGAAGGAGTTGCTGGCTTAATACAGTCCTTACTGCTACACTACTAGCAGACTTTATTTATCTTGCCTTGTTTATTTCTGCTAAATTAATTTCTTTTCAAACACTATGCAGTCTAGTGCAAGTGAAGTAAACTCTCTGACACTTAGTTTTCTCAACTGGAATTTGAAATAGTTCTGCTGACTTTGTGACATCATTTTAAGGATGAAATTAACGGTGATGGCTGATGCTACTTCATGTCTCTGACTTTTCTTACACTCTCTCCCCAGGGTCGTGCCTTTAACAAATATTATTTGAGCACCTGACAAGGCAGGTTCATGATGACTTGTATATGAGAGATGGTGTCAGGACTAACAGTCTCCCTTCCACTTGAACTTTCCTAGTTTAGGGAAGATTTCCATTTAAAAGGGGGAAAATTTACTTATTTGAATCATTCCATTGCCTAACAGTGTTAGATAAAAAAAGCATTATTATATTTCCTTTATTCCTTTGTTAAATATGCACTGAAATAATGTGTGTGTACATGAGTGTCTATACACATAGATATACACTTTTATATACAGTCCATACTTACACATATATGTATGCATGTGTGTGTGTAAATATAAATAGTCCATAATTTTTACATACCTGTTTTTTTCATATTTTATACCCCATTTAAAAAATGAGCACATTAAACTTGAACGATTAGATGCATTTATGTCAATGAGGGAGGAACAACTCAGAAAAGGAGGATGAGAATGGTCGCACAACTCAAAGAATGTAATCAATGTCACTGAATTGTACATGTATAAACTGTTGAATTGGTATGTTTTGCTGTGTATATTCTCAATAACAACAACAAACTAAATAAAATTTAGAAAAACAAATAAGCACGTTATATTTGGAAGGTTAATATTTTCTTACCTTCATTCCTTCAAATCTGGATAATGCTCTTAGAGGTCTTAAGGCTCTCAGTGTCCGGAGAGATTTAATGGGGCCAAGATCTGAGTAGCCGAGAGTGTTTGCTACTAAAGTAACCAAAGAAACCTACAAAAAATAAAATTTTCATTAATTGTTTCAATGAAATGATACAATAGAAAAAGGAAAATACATTTTCAAAATTCACTAATAGCAGATCAACAAAAATAATAGAAGTTTATATATCAAGTTACCCAATCATTGCCTTAAAAAAAAAAAAAAGATGTAAGATGGATGTTTTTGTAACATAATAGATTTAAGGGAAGGTTAACCAAAATAAGAAGAAATAATGGAAGTGAAGAAGGTTATTTCTTTTATCTTAATAGAAATCCCAAATATAGTTTTCACATTTTTGTAATCAGTGTTTATGTACTTGCTTATTAAATGTAAAAATATAATTAGTTAGAATAACTTTCAAAATTTCAGTTGAAATAAAACCCATGCATAACAAAATGAATGTGATTCTGACGTTAAGTCATAGAAGTCTGGCACCCGCTCAATCAAATCTAAGTCCTAGTATATACCTTATTCAAAAGCATTCTGAAAACTCATGGTTGTGAGTATTCTTATATTTATAATGAATATTTAAAGCTATATACTTTCCTGAATTCTGATATGTATAGACAGACAGATAGACAGATAGTGTTACATCCATTGGAAATCACCAGTTCATATTTTAAAATGCAAGGCAAAATAACTTCCATTATTAAATAGCCATATTGCTTTCTTAATTTAAAATAAATTCAACTGTACTTGCAAACTTACATTTCTTAAGATGGGTGATGAAAACAAGTATGCGTATGATAATATTTTTAAAAGTTCTGAATATATTAAAGATTTTGTAAAAATTTTCAAAAAACCCAATCATATTTAAATATTAAGATAAAAGAAAAGAAATAGCCACATTCCTTCTATTATTTCTTATTTTGGTTAAACTTCCTTTAACTCTATTATATTACAAAAGTATCTATCTTGGCCATTTTTTTTTCCTAGGCAGTGACTAGGTGACTTGATACGTAAAAGGTGAATCAAATAACAAATCAAACAATATGAAATCATTAATGTCATAGAGGAAGTCTGAGAGAACACATAGGGTATAATGTATAGCTATACTTTGGAAAAGAATTATTTTGTACATCACTTCCATAAAAGCAAAACCTTATTGTTTTTAATATATTTATTGAGATCTTAAAAAACAGTTTACTGTGCCTTATACAACCATTAAGAAAATTAACTTTGAAGTAAATATGATCAGTTTTGATTTAATTTTATAATCAGATTTTGCTATGTATGATCATGCCTACTTTATAGTTTTTAAATCTATGAATGGTGCTGCATTAATTTATCTTTTCTGCAAAATCTGGTGATGCAAACTCTTGGTTAGATGTTAAAGAACTTGTGGTCACTATAAAGATTAGCAAGTTGCTTTTAATTATTCCAGGCATCACATGGAAAACGAATCTCTAGAAACTGAGGGTTAGCATGTGACTGACTTCAGTGTGTTTCTTCCCTAACCACGGAGGCTAGTATTCTTAAAATCTAGGAGAATTAGTAAGAGATTGAAGGACACAAATCCTGATGAGAAAAATAAGATTGGGTGTTTGAAGTCATTAATTAATTTAAGAAAGCATTTTAAAATAAAAATAATTAGAGCACACTAAATAATAATGAGTTGGTAATAATGGATGTTGTACCATTAATTTGTATTTGAAATTCCTAATCTCAGCAGCTGTTTTAGGATGTTCTTATTTCAACAAGATGCCTGTAAGTGCATTTTTGCTTTGTTAAAAATAGTACATAAACTGAAGCATTTTCTTATGTATTTTCTATCAGTCAAGTATTCAACAGTTTTCTTAATTAATGATTTGAAATTATTGGTGCCTACTTCCCTGCTCCTTTGGCATCCCAGAGATGAAGGGTGAGTTAGATGTTTGAGACAGGGACAAAAGTTGTTGTGACTTATTTTGGTTTTCCTATCATTATGACTGAGATAAATAAAAACTCCATCTCCGCTGTGAGGTGTGGAACTCCCTTGCAGTAAACAATTTGATCTTTGGTCTTGGTTCCTGAAGGCCAGACCATACCTGAGACCAGTAAGTGGGGGCTGGCCAGACCAAGAGAGATTACCTGGGGGTCTGAGGCTGACTAAGCCTCAGGAGGCATGATGTAATCTATCATGGCCACAAGATGAAGCCAATAAAGGCCTTAGAAGATAGTGGCTCACTGGAGCTTCTTGGGTGGAGAGAATGAACACCTGCTTTCGGGAGGGTAAGCATGTCCCCTGAGGACATGGAAGCTTTGTGCAGAGGCTCCTTTCATACCTTGTCCTATATGTTTGTATCCTTTTGTCTGCTAGATTAAAGATAGACCTTTCCCTGCAGTTCGTGAGTCGTTTCAATGGATTATCAGACCTATGGAACAGAGGACCAATGCCTGCTGACCTAGCCACAGGTGAATGGGGATGAGAGAGAAATGGCTAAGCTGGCAGCTGGGGTCTGAGCTGACTAGGAAAGGGAAGCAGATGTTTCTCTGGATTTGTCTGATGCCATATCTGCCCTTCTCCTAGGATTTGTCTGATGCCATATCTGCCCTTCTCCTAACAGTTATTTAGCTTTACCTTCTTCTAATTTTATACTGTCAAAAACAGCATTGTACCTCTTTAATCTGTGTCTCTTCTCCTTTCCTTTCTCACTTCCCTCTTTTTCATTTTGTTCTTATTCCCAAAATAAATGATATTCAAATAGTGTATTAAAAAATCACATTTCTTCTGATTGCAGAAAACATATGCAAAAGTAAATTATAGCTATTAGAATGACAAAAAAGAATTTACATTTGTTGCAGGATATCTGCTCTAATATTCCTCACAGATATATTTCTGCTAGCTGTGTACTATTATTTCTAAAAACAGAAACCTATAGTTTGAAAATTCATAAAGCTAACCAAAACTAAAATATAATAAACATTGATGAAGGTTTTACAGAACACTTATTAGTAAGAATAAATCATCTTTAAAAATTTACTCAAAAAACACCTACATCAACAATTAAGAAATCCAGCCAACACCAGGCATTGGTGAAGTAAGTTTTGTAACCATATGCTACCCATTTTAGAACCATTTCCAGAATGAAGACATAAGTGAATATCTTGTCAGCATACTCCAGAATAATCTTAATGTTCTTTTTCCGTTCAATATATATATCTTCAAAGGCCTGTGGAAATAATGTTCAATTTTCAATTCAAGTACAACTTAAAATCATAATGTGTAATTAAAACAGAAAATAAAATCATGATCATGAGAACACTGAAATATAATACTTTTATGGGCCATATGACTTTCTTCTGGCTTATACCTACTGTGTAACCTTTAGTTGTAGCCTTCTTAACAGTGCATGCTGCTGGTCACCAGAGGACAAGAGAAAAAAAGAATGAAATTATTTGTAATCTTCTAAAAGAACAATGATCTCTGACGCCTACATGGATTTCCACTTTCATCTAATTCCCCTTTCTTTACTCTTCAGTTGTCTGAGTCCTAATAATTTCTTTCTTTTTTATTGTGCTTTAAGTGGAAGTTTACAGTTCAAGTTAGTTTCTCATACAAAAATTTATACACACATTGTTATGTGACCCCAGTTGCTCTCCCTATAATGTGACAGCACACTCCTCCTTTCCACCTCAGATTTCCGGTGTCCATTCAACCAGCTCCTGTCCCTTTTTGCCTTCTCATCTCACCGCCAGACAGGAGCTGCCCATTTAGTACCTTGTATCTACTTGAGCTAAGAAGCACGCTCTTCACCAGTATCATTTTATGTTTTATAGTCCACTCTAATTTTTGTCTGAAGAGTTGGCTTTGAGAATGGTTTTAGTTTTGGGCTAACACAGTCTGGGGGCTATGTTTTCCAGGGTCCCTCCAGTCTCAGTCAGACCTTTAAGTCTGATGTTTTTACTAGAATCTGAGTTCTGCACCCTACTTTTCTCCTGCTCCGCCAGGGAAATCTCTGTTGTGTTCACTGTCAGGGTGGTCATTGGTGGTAAGTGAGCAACATCTGGTTCTTCTGGACTCAGGCTGATGGAGTCTCTGGTTTATGTGGCCCTTTTGTCTCTAGGGATAATATTTTCCTTGTGTCTTTGGTGTTCTTCATTCTCCTTTGCTTCAGGTGGGTTGGGACCAATCGATGCATCTTAGTTGGCCGCTTGCTAGCCTCAGATGCCACTCACCAAAGTGGGATGCAAAACATTTTCTTAATGAACTTTGTTATGCCAATTGACCTAGTCCCCTGAAACCATGGTTTCCCGACCCCTACCCCTGCTACTTTGTCCCTTTAAGTGTTTGGCTGTGTTCAAGAAACTTCTTAGCTTTTCATTTAGTCCAGTTGTGCTGATTTCCCCTGTAGTATGTGTTGTCCTTCCCTTCACCTGAAATAATTCTTGTCTACTATCTAGTTAGCGAATACCCCTCTCCCTCCACCCCCACCCTCATAACCATCAAAGAATGTTTTATTCTGTGTTTAAGCCTTTTCTTGAGTTCTTATAATAGTGGTCTTATACAATATTTGTCCTTCTGTGACTGACTACTTTCATTCAGCATAATGCCTTTCAGATTCATCCACGTTATGTTTCATGGATTCATCATTATTCTTTATCATTGCTTAGTATTCCATTGTTTGAATATACCATAATTTGTTTATGCATTCATCCACTGATGGGCACCTAGGTTGTTTCCATCTTTTTGCTATTATGAACAGTGCTGCAATGAACATGGGTGTGCATATATCTATTCATGTGATGGCTCTTATTTCTCTAGGATATATTCAAGGAGTGGGACTGCTGGATCATATGGTACTTCTATTTCTAGCTTTTTAAGGAAGTGCCAAATCAATTTCCAAAGTGGTTGTACCATTTTACATTCCCACCAACAGTGTGTAAGTGTTCCAGTCCCTCCACGATCTCTCCAACATTTATTATTTTGTATTTTTTGGATTAATGCTAGCCTTGTTGGGGTGAGATGGTATCTCATTGTAGTTTCAATTTGCATTTCTCTAATAGCTAATGATTGTGAACATTTCCTCATGTATCTGTTAGCCGCCTGAATGTCTTCTTTGGTGAAGTGCCTGTTCATATCCTTTGTCTATTTTTTAATTGAGTTTTTGTCTTTTTCTGGTTGAAGTTTTGCAGTATCTTGTAGATTTTAGAGAGTAGATGCTGACTGGATTTGTTGTAGCCACATTTTTTCCCCCAGTCTATAGGTTGTCTTTTTACTCTTTTTGTGCAGTCTTTTGATGAGCAAAAGTGTTTGATTTTTAGGAGCTCCCAGTTATCTATCTAGTTTCTCTTCTAGCGTTTGTGCATTGTTACTTATGGTTTGTATTCTGTTTATGCCATGTTTAGGGATCCTAGAGTTGTCCCTATTTTTTCTTCCATGATCTTTATCGTTTTCGATTTTATATTTAAGTCTTTGATCCATTTTGAGTTAGGTTTTGTGCATGGTGTGAGGTATGGGTCTTGTTTCAGTTTTTTTGCAGATGGATATCCAGTTATGCCAGAACTATTTATTAAAAAGACTGTCTTTTCCCCAATTCACAGACTTTGGGCCCTTGTCAAATATCAGTTGCTCGTAGGTGGATGGATTTATGTCTGGATTCTCAATTCTGTTCCATTGGTCTATGTATCTGTTGTTGTACCAGTACCAGGCTGTTTTGACTACCATGGCATATAATAGGTTCTAAAATAAGGTAGTGTGAGGCCACCCATTTTGTTCTTCTTCTTCAGTAATGCTTTACTTATCCAGGGCCACTTCCACTTCCATATGAAGTTGGTGATTTGTTTCTCCATCTCATTAAAAAATGCCATTGGAATTTGGTTTGGGATTGCCATTGTATCTGTAGATCGCTTTGGGTAGAACTGACATTTTCACAATGTTGAGTCTTCCTATCCTCGAGCAAGGTATATTTTTCCACTTATGTAGGTCTCTTTTGGTTTCTTGCAGTAGTGTCTTGTAGTTTTCTTTGTATAGGTCTTTTACATCTCTGGTTACATTTATTTTATCTTCTTGGGTGCTACTGTCAATTGTATTGATTTGGTGATCTCCTTTTTGAAGTTATCTTTGTTGGTATAGAGGAATCCAACTGATTTTTGTATGTTTATCTAATATCCTGATAGTTTGCTGTAATCTTCTATTAGTTCCAGTAGTTTTCTCGTGGATTCTTTGGGGTTTTCTGTGTATAAGATCATATCATCTGCAAATAGAGATACTCTGACTTCTTATTTACCAATTTGGATGCCCTTTGTTTCTTTTTCTAGCCTAACTGCTCTGGCTAGGACCTCCAGCACAACGTTGAATAAGAGTGGTGATAAAGGGCATCCTTGTCTGGTTCCTGTACTCAAGGGGAATGCTTTCAGACTGTCTCCATTTAGGATGGTGTTGGCGGTTGGCTTTGTATGAATGCCCTTAATTATGTTGAGGAATTTCGTTTCTATTCCTATTTTGTTGAGAGTTTTTATTATGAATGAGTGTTGGACTATGTTAAATGCCTTTTCTGCATCAATTGAAAAGATCATGTGGTTCTTGTCTTTTGTTTTATGTATGTGATAGATTACATTGATTGTTTTTCTAATGTTGAACCATCCCTGCATACTAATAATTTCTTAAGATGCAATTCCACTGTCAGTGCCCCTTATAAACCTTTCCCACCCTGCACTCTCCCATGATTTAGGAGCTACTCCTTTGCTTTTAGATGCTTGTGCATGTCCAGTACCTAGCACTGTGTTAAGATATTGCAGGAGGTCAGGAAATGTCTATTACATGAAAGACTGCAGTAGCTGAATAAGGCTGAAGAATATATAAGATGGTTTCTTCCTTTGAATTCTGCATCCATATCTTATCATTCTTCAAAAGCTTCAGTTCTACAAACCACTGTTACATTCACTTCATGAATGTGGCACCTCTGACAATCTCCAAGAACTTTTAATAAACGACTGACAATGATACTGTGGTGACAGCCACATGTCTCTTAGGGAATAATTTAAATGGATTAAAGGGCTTGAGACACAAGCCCTGCCGGTGCAGTGGTTAAAGCGCTTGACTGCTAACTGAAGGGTTGGCAGTTCGAACCCAAAAGCTGCTCCCCAGGAGAAACATGTGGCTTTCTGTTTCTGTAAAGATTACATACTTGGAAACCCTATAGGGTAGTTCTACTCTGTCCTATAGGGTCACTATGAATCGGAATTGACTTGACAGCAAAGGGTTTGGGTTTTGTTTTGTTTTTAAAGGCTTGAGCTTGCTGAAGGCACTGAAAGTGACTGCTGACCTACACACAGCTAAAGTATTAGAATTTTCTCTTTCATGTTTAAACACCATTCATGTTGTCAGAGGAGTCTCTGGGTGGCACAAATTGTTAAGCACTCAATGACGATTCAAAAGGTTGGCATTTTGAACCCACCCAGAGGCTCCTTGGAACACAGGCCTGGAGATCTGCTTCGGAAAGGTCGCAGCTTTGAAATCCCTATGGAGTGGTTCTACTCTGCACACAAGAGGTCACCGTGAGTCAGAACTGACACCTTATTGGAGGAAATGAAAGCAAAAGCACCTGTATTCTTAATGGCTAACCTTATACTACCTGTCCACAATCCTGGGCTGTGTCTTTCTCATTCTGCTTACTCCAAGTTCTGCTATAAATACTTTAAAAAGTATCCTTGGTATTTTTTGCAACTGTTGGTATCAATATTGAAGAAAATAGTTCTCTGCTGGCACATGGAGAATGGACAGACCTACTAAGGTGCAAGGAGCCCTGGTGGTGCAAATGGTTAAGTGCTAGGCTGCTAACCGAAAGGTTGGTGGTTCAAATCCACCCAGTGGTTCCATGGGAGAAAGACCTGGTGACCTGCTTCTGTAGATTAGAGCCAAGAGAACTCTACGGGACAGTTATACTCTGTCACATGGAGTCACTATGAGCTGAAAATGGCTTGATGGCACCAAACAACAATTAAGATGTAGAAAGAAGTTCCCAGCAGTTAGCAGAGTTCTGAAAGTCAGTGGAACTGAGGTGCAAGGGCAAACTTCTATTTTGTGTTCACTGCTCTTAGGAGCCATAATATGGTTTAAAAAAAAAAAGATACAGTGACTTTGACTTTGTTGTTGTTATGTGCCATCGAGTCAGTTCCAACTCATAGCAACTCTGTGTATAACAGAACAAAATATTGCCCGGTCCTGCGC